AAGGCTGTCTCAACTGGGGTGTTTGTTCACACATATTCTGTGACCTAGACATATAATGACATTAATGTATCCATAAGATGAATACAGCCCAAACACTCCCCCTCATGGCAGTATGTTGCAAGAGTACGCTTTGAATAAAAATTGGGAGATTAAGATTCAAATTTTCTTGAGAGATTGAACAAAATGTCTTTCAAATGCTTAGTTCAGCATAAAAATACTTCAATTACAGAACTTCCATATTATCTCTACTCTATAAGAGTCATAACTTATGATTTGTCCTCTTGAAGAACATAATCACTATACTCCCAAATTTGTACCATTGGTCCTTGTATTTCAGATTCACATATAAAGATACTTAAGTAATATATTCCCATAGTTATAAAATAAGCATGTTCAAAATAGAACCCTTGATTCTCCCTCCAAAATTTATTCTTCCTCTAATTTCCATATTTATAAAAGTTTTCTTCATCTACTGCCAAAAAACTTATAATCATCAGGATAATTCTTCCATTTCACTTTTCCCCCATAACCGTTCCTTCAGCAAATCATGTCGTCCTAAACATATCCCTAATCCCTCCATCCCCATTGCTACAACTACAGCCCAGACCACTTTCAACTCTCATTTTGACTACTGCAATAGTCTCTTTAAAAATCTCATTCTTTACATCTAAGAAACCTTGTTCCCATTCTAGCAAGAGAGATCTTTTACAAGTATAAATCAGATCTTCGTGCTCCCTTGTTTTAAACAGTTCCATGGTTTGATATTGTGGATAATAAAAAACCCCAGTGCTTTCCCAGGCCTCTGGGTCTTACCTGTTCTGGCTCCATCCCTCATTTCCAAAGCATTATTTCAGCTACACTGGCCTCTCTTTTCCTGGGACACACCAAGCTCATTCCCATGTTGGTACCTGAGCTAACCAGCTAAATAAACATTCCTTTTTGTCTGGAACACTCTTCACCATGAATTTTTCACTCACACCTTTTTTTCTTCCTCAGCTATCAGCTGAAATATCACCTCCTCAGAAAGACTACCCAACATAAACTAGCCCCATAGTCTTTTTCGATCTTACCATTCTGTCTTATTTTCTACATAGTACTCATCACCACCTGGTATTTTCTCATTTCCTTTTATCTTTCCATAGTCTATTTTTCCCTGGTAGAATATAAGCTCCTGAAGGCAGAGAAGTCATCTGTTTTATTTGTGTCTCTGTCTTCCACACTGAGAACAATGCATAGCAATATAGAGGCGCTCAAAAAGTACTTGTTCAATGAATGAATGGATAGTTCATTACATTAGTCCTGTAAAGTAAGATCACTTTCACCTCATCATGG